GCCCCGGCCGCGGGCCTCTTCAGCTCCCCCGGCATGGCAGGTGAGCGCCGGGAGGCCGCCCACGGTAACCGCTGGGCGCCGCCGTCAGCAAACGAGCTAAAACCGCCTCGCGTGCCTGCTGTTCCAGACATCCGTGAGCTCATAGAAGTGGACGACGTCATGGAAGACGAGTCCCTGAGGTTTGGTCCCAACGGCGGCTTGGTGTTCTGCATGGAGTACTTTGCCAATAACTTTAACTGGCTGGAGGAGAGCCTTGGGCACGTGGAGGATGACTATGTGTTGTTTGACTGCCCAGGTAAACAAACGTCATCGCTTTGGTATCGCTCTTCATATGCAGTGTAAAATTGGCCGTACTTTCTTCCTGTTGGTCGTAATCATTCACGCATTTTTTTCTGCATTATCGACAGTTGTCAGAGTCACTTTCAGACGTTTCAGAAGTTAACTTGGTCCCAGCCTAATCTGGGTGACTGCACTGACTTTTAATAGCATCATCTGGTGTGGGAATGCCATGGCAACTGCTAACTAACACTAATTGGAGGTCAAGGGAGGAAAAAACCCTTCTATTTCTTTTCCACTTCTCCAGTACAAGTTCATTCTAATACAGTCAGAGTGGTTTGAAAAGAAAGATGATGCTTTATCAGCTTTTATTCACATTAAGTGCTATGCCCATATTTATATAACCGATAACTCTTCCTGTTAGCGTCACATTTCTGCAGACTAACATCCTGAGTGTGCCCTAGGTCAGATCGAGCTCTACACACATCTGCCCGTGATGAAACAGCTGGTGGAGCAGCTTCAGCAGTGGGAATTCCGTGTCTGTGGAGTTTTTCTTGTGGATTCTCAGTTTATGGTGGAATCTTTTAAGGTATCCATTTGAAATCCGTTGTAAAAGTCCGTATCAACGAAGAACAAGAAGTCTGAGCAATTTAGGGAGCTGGGTTTGTTTAGCCCAGAGGAAAGAATGCTAAGCTGGGGGAGATCCGATTGCTGTCTTCGTCTGCCGCAGACGCAGGTTGCAGCAAAGAAAATTCCAGTTGGATGTAAAGAAAACCGGCACTGCGAGAGTGGTCAGGCCGGAACAGGGGCACAGAGGGATTGTGTAACGTACGTTCATGGAGTTACTCAAAACTTGACTGGGCAAAGCCCCTGAGCAACCTGATCTGACTTTGAAGCTGGCTCTGCTTTGAGCAGTTGTATGAACCAGATAACCTCTAAAAGTCTCTTCCACCCTAAGTTCCTCGGTGATCCTACGAGAGCTTGCTCAGATCTGGAGAGCGAGCAGGCCACTTTCCCCATCTAGCAGTAAGAATCCTGAGATGGGCTTTGAGTTTTGAAATGGCCTTTTCACTGGCAGATCCAGAGTTGAGGCTCTGGAAATAAGATGGCAGATGGGAAGCTCAGCACCTCCCTTTTCCAACAGAGATAAGGACTCCCCGCTTGGCCTCGTGTCCCTGTTTCATATATTAGCTAGATTTGGTCTGTGGTAGAGTGTCCTGCATGTTTGTATTGTGTTTTTCTGTACTTAACTACATCATTTTTCATATTCCTTAAGTTTATCTCTGGAATTCTGGCAGCACTCAGTGCAATGATATCTTTAGAGATTCCACAGATTAATATCATGACCAAAATGGATTTGCTGAGCAAGAAAGCCAAGAAGGAAATAGAAAAGTAAGTTCCAACAAATTACTTGGTCTGTAGTGTAATATCTTGAGGTAAACTTCACTCAAAATTCAGTCTAATGTTTCCCACAATTAAAACATACTCCTTTCGAATCGGAGAAGATGCATTTGTCTTATATCGAACATAGTCTTCAAATGTCTGGATAGGATGCTTACAATTTAGTCAGAGTCAAAAGGCTAGCTCCATGTTTGTACAGATCTCTGGATTTTTCTGCAAGTAATGATCTTGAATAACTTACGTCATTCTGAATGACATTCCAGGGTACTGTGCCCACCAGGGTACTGCACTTCAAAACCTAAACCAGAGGTGATCCTATCAGTTTTTTGGTACTGAACATACTGAATTACTTCTGCGTTACTTTTACATTTGTGCTAAAATTACAAAATTAAAGTTTTTCCCTGCAGTCTTCCTCAAAGCTTTCCTGAGTATACAAGTATATTAGCAAAAAAACCCAAAAAAAACACTTCAGTTGTTTCTGCTAGCAATCGTAATCTGAGATATTCAAATACTTAAAAAAAATATTTTTAAACATTTTGAGTTCTCTTGGTATGAAGTTAGTTCATTCAGATCACAGAACGATAGATGGTTTTGGTCGCTATGTAAAAGCACAATGACTCATTTGCTCTCTGGCCAAGGATTCTGTCAATGTTAACGATGACTTTGTTTCTCCCAGGTACTTAGATCCAGATATGTATTCTATGATTGAAGACTCTACAAATATATTGAAAAGCAAAATGTTTAAAAAATTGACTAAATCTATATGTGGATTGGTAGGTATATTGCTTTTTAACTGGTACCCTTAAATTCAGTCCTGTATTTATAAACCACACTGTTTGGTTGCTGACTTCATTGCTGTTATAGATACTGTATGTACTATAATAATTCTCCCTGCCTCGCCCCGAAACTACGTATTTACCTACCAGACTTCTTAACAAAGCTGGGATCTAAAAGATTCTCAGGCACTCGAGCATTTTACTTTTTGCCTATTTTAACTCAGTTTTTGATTTTTTCAGATTAGCATAAGATTCTTGAGAGTGTGTGTGTGTGTATATGTATGTACACCCACTTGGATTGTAGCGAATACGTTTTCTGTGAACCCTGTTCTGTTAGCGATTTTGGAAAACTGCTTTTTCTGCTGCGTAGAACTTAGGACTGATAGCCAGGTGTTCTGAGTGGGGAATTGCCATTGGTTTGCAGTGTGGCTTTAAATGGTATTTTAGCAGTCCAGAGAAGGAAGACCTTAGTGTGGTTTGAGGAAGTGGCTCAGAGTGCTGTGATTGAGAACTAACTTACTGCATTTTCTTACCAACATCCTTTGAATCCTTCCTCTAGATTGATGACTATGGTATGGTTCGATTTCTACCTTTTGATCGCTCTGATGAGGAAAGCATAAACATTGTTCTGCAGCACATAGACTTTACCATTCAGTATGGAGAAGATCTTGAATTTAAAGAACCAAAGGTAAGGTACTTCTGATGGTAAGATGAAAAATTAAAAAGGATCCATAATATAAGTTGTAATATAAATACGTTCTTTGCCTTGCTAATAAATCATTGTCATAGTATGGTTCAAAATAAGCCATGTTTAGTCTTTTAGTGACAATGCTTATATCGTCTTCATTTACAATTACAAAAGTGAAATTCTTTAATACCACCTTGCATATGCAGACTGATCAAATGGTTGTGTTTAGAAGTAATGCTTTGGTTTCCAAAAATAATGGAATTTTAAACTTCAAAGGTCAGAAAGGACCATTAAGAACACTAAGATTTCTTCCTACATGACTGTTCAAAGTCCCCTGGTAATTCCTGTGTTGAACCCATGTGTTGTATATGAGATATAGATTAGGAATAAATTCTGTCATGTAAAATACATGATAAAAGACTGCTGTGTTAAAATCTGTTCCAAGCCCCATCTGGTTTTATTACTCAGCTCATAAATCCTAAGGAACAAGTCCAGTGCTTTTATTCTATTTTTTAATTCAGTTTTGTACTCTTTAAGTATGCAGAATACCTGGATCTAGATTTTGACCTATATAATTTCGATAGCTCTAGAAACAAATTGCTTTTCAGCAAGTTTTGCTACATGTTTTATGGAACCATATTAGACATTGTTCCTGTTGTGGTTTCTAAAATAAAACGTCACAGAACAATGTACAACAGCCACTAGGGAAAAGTCAGGTTTTACCTTTTTTGTTTTCTTTTTGGCAGGCATGCGGAGAAGATAAATCATCTCCTCTTGTGGATGAATACTTTCAAGATCATGTGGATGAGTAAAAAATGGATGTTCAAAAATGGGAGGAAAATACCTTGCTTGTGTTAGAAAATAAAAATGAAAAAAAAATCCACCCCTACACAAACATACTTGATGTTTTATCTGTAAGATAACTAATATTTATAATGAAGAGTGAGGTATATGGCCTCTTAACTATTTTAATAAACAATTTTCATTCTTATGCGTGTGTGTTATCAAATACATAGGCTAGCGTTAGTACATATAAAAGTTCCCCACATAGATCTATCTCATTTAAGCACAGGAATGCTTGAAAAAAATCTCATCATCTGCAAAAGAGGCAAAGCTGAATATGAGTATGTTGTAATAAATATTAATCTCCAGTACTGAGTAGTTAGTTTCATTATTAGATGAGATAAAGAATTGTTCTAAAGGGTGAAAATTGTACTTCATGAACTGGACCTGAATTAGGCGAAGAGATGACTGGCAACTTCGAAGGGACATCTAGTCCGTGGGTGGTCTCTCACCCTTCTCAGAGAACGAGTGTTTTACATTCACTTTGGAAGAGCCTAGATTTTAAGCCGCCTTAAGGCTGGTTTTTGTACAACTTGCACGTGGCTTTAAGTGGTTTATACATCGATAACATCTTAAGCACAGCACAACACTTAAAATCAGCTTAAACAGAACTCAGGGATGGTCTTGTGCAACCGCGTTAGAAACTGTTAGTTAACGAAGAATTCAGCAACAAATAAGTAAGCTCCTTTTTTTCCCCTGAATAAAGAACTCGTACACCTACTATGGACATAACGTTACCTCTATAGTACAATGTGTGGCGCTTTCAGAGAAGCAAAACTTTAGCACATTATCTCCAAAGAACATACCCACCTAAGTAACAAAATACATGTAAAAATGGTCTTGGGAATTTTTCAGGCAAGTAGCATCAATTCTGGAATTGGATGTATCTGTTAACACACTGTTCATATCAGACAATAATTCAAGACCTATAGGGAAATGTACTGCTGAATTTACCTCTCACAGTTTGTAGTTCTTTTATATAGACAGACTGTTCCCTGGGGCGTCTTGAGTGTTTCAAAACATGTTTTATTGCTTCTAAAATCTATTGGTCCAATTTATTAGCTACATTCAGCTGAATTTCAGGATGTGTTTTTTTGCTGCTTATGTCCAAGTACATACTAACCTTTCCTTTTCCTTAACCCTATGCAACGAGATTTACTCATGGAGTCCTTGAATTAAAATATTTTCCAATAAGGGCTTCATGGTTGTGAAATGCTTAACATCAGTGAATGCTTATATGTAGGCATATCATCTGTCTATATATAGTTCATGTATTAGAAATTAGCCCCATCCTCACAAAATATGAGCAGCCAAGTATTTCAGTAGAATAAGAACAATTGATGTCATTTTGTAGGAGCAGCTTGGTTAGCAAATGTCTGAGTGCAAGGATACCCCGTAACGGAAACCAAATCAAGGATTGAATACTTGGCAACTGCACTTACCTAAACCTGGGGTGTGATAGCAGCTTGGCGCAGAGTTTAGTTTTGTAGTTTCTTGCTTCTAGTCCGGAAGGTGTCATTTTTTTCTTATTCATCAGTAGGGTTGTTCTTCCTGTCTGTTTAAATAAATGGTTAAATGTTCATACTGTTGATACGGTGCTTATTTTTGAAGTAAGGATCTGCTTTTTCCGAAGCAGAGCCAGAACAGGGAGAGGGGTTCAACAGACCAGCAAATCCTGCACGCCTAGAGGAAAAGGGCTCCCCGGAATCCGTATGTGGAGGTCAGGGAGGATCGCATGGGATCTTTTAAATGGGAACAAAGAAAAAATGGGAAATAAGATGTCACCTAAGAACTATTAAAATGGTTTTTCAAAGCCAGGTTTCCAAAAATTGCCAACCTTACGACCTCTACAAGAAGTCTCGTGATACTCAGCATTTCTAAAACCTTACTCCCACCTCCAGACAACTAGTGAATGCTGAGACTTCAGTTTCAAGATAGTCATTGTGGTCACCAGAAAGAGATGAAAAAAAATCAGCTCTTCAGACCTTTAAAACATGGGGCCAAAAGCCCTGAATATATTTGTTTTTTAATAGTTATGGTGTAGGTTAACCTCATGATGAGGCAAGTCTTTATGCTCACACGGAACTAATCACATCACAGCGGGATCCGATCTGGCCGAATTAAACCATCCAAACACTGGGAAAACTTCTGTAGCTTAACTCGCCTCCAGACTGGCACATCCTTGGGACAAGCCACGCTCACGGACTGTCGAAAGGAGAAACCCCAGCCCTGCAGTTACATTACTTTGCCTCACCTTCCAACTCTCCCCATTTTTTCTCCCTGACTTATGCCATTTACCATGGGACAAATTCAGCATGCAGGGTCACACAGAAGGCTATGGCTCGACAGTAACAGGAGCGTGCAGCTTCAAATATTGGGTCCCTCCAAACACAACGTGTTTGGACCCGCTCTGTCCTTCCTTACATCGAGTGCCCCGTGCAGCCGGCTGCGCTTTGCACGTCGGGTCAGAGCAAGCGATGCCCAGGAGCGCCGCAAACGTGCGGGAGGGAAAACCGGCTGCGAGCCAAGCGTCCCCACCTGCGCCCTTACCAAGCTCTGACCCTCGCCGGGGACAGGAGCTTGCCTCTGCCAGCGAGGAAGCGAGATGTCAGGGTGGCTGGAAAAGAAAAGGGTTGCATGGAGGGACCGAGGAAGGGTTACTTGCAGTGCCGGCCACAGCAAAGGCCGGGGGGGAGCGAACAAGTCCCCACCTGAGCGTGCTTTCAAAGCACCTTCTGGGTGCTGGCAGTGCTCTCGCAGGAGGGGTGCCTCCCGGGGCGGCGCAC